CTTCTTGAGATCAATGAGTTGTTTAGATGAAGCAAGGGCAGCAAGTTGAACACCATAATACGAAGAAATCATATTCAACGTTGGGAGACAAAACTATTCATCTAGACTTTGGTGGTGTCAACAATGCATACGGTAATTAAATTATATTAAATGATTGTACATCTTAGATATAAGGATATTGGTCCATTCAAAATTGTATATAAATTTAAATAAAGATATATTTATCCAGAGAAGGATCTATGACCTGACTACAAGTTGGGCTAATATGTAGAAAAAATAAATTTACACACACACAAAAAAAATTATACATTAAAAAAATTTACGGACCAGGGACTGGGCTGATCTTCTTGAGATCGATGAGTTGTTCAGAGGAAGCAAGGGCAGCAAGTTGAATACCATAATACGAAGAAATCATATTCAACATTGGGAGAAAAAAATATTCATCTAGACTCTGATGGTGTGAACAATGCATATGTCAATTAAATTATATTAAATGATTGTACATCTTAGATGTAAGGATATTGGTCCATTCAAAATTTTATATAAATTCAAATAAAAATATATTTATCTAGAGAAGGATCTAGGACCTGACTACAAGTCGGGCTAATATGTAGAAAAATATAAGTTTACGCATAAAAAAATTATATTTTTTACACTAAAAAATAATTAATGGGCCGTGCTCCCTCCAAATCCGTCCATGATATTTTGTTGGATTGGGATAAAATTGTATATAACTAACAAAGTTGCTATGCTGCTAGAGAGGGTTTGACGCTCTACCTAACAGCACACTCATAATAGGAGAGCATTTTTTTGAAATTTTTTATTCACATGGATCACACTCCCATTTGAGTGTATGTCAACCAATGCGGCAAATCTTTTCTGACAAAAGAGCTTAATTCTATAACTAATATGAGACATGCAACGCAACAACATAATTGCTCACATATTTAGTAGAATGATTTTTTTTTCTTTCAAATTATTAGAATATTATGAGAAATGAAAGGATAAAAATTTATCTCTTAACTATCTTCTTTGTTGCTCTATATTTCTTTGATAAACTAACCAAAAGAATTGAAAGAGAACACTACTCTCCTATATTTATTTAGCCTCTATTTGGTTTGGTTAAAAGTCATTTTTTTAAAATTTATTTTGATAAAAAATGATGAAATGTATGATTAAAATTGATAAAAATTGTGAATTTCGTTAAAGATTTTTATCAACCTTTTTAACTAAACCAAATAGGGATATAATGTAAAATAAGATACCAGTTTTTATCGACCCTTTCTGAATTCTAGTTCAAATTATCATACACATATCGAATTTACATTTTTAACCTTGTGTGCTGGCTAAGAGCTTTAGTCTTTCCTCATCGACTAGACACCATTTTTTGATAATAAATTTGGTAAAAAGTGATTTTTTTTCGAAGAATGCATGATTAAAAAGTAGAAAAAAATCGAGTTTATATACAAAATTATATTATTGAAAAAATATATTTGAAGAAATATGAATTTCAAAAAATTGAACTCACAAGTGCATTGTACCCGGACACGCTCTCTTTTGGGCAGTTTCACTTATAAAATGCTTACCAATCTTTCCTTTTACTCACCGTAAATATATCTATACACGATACATCCCCATCTCTCCCTCCCCCTCTCTATATTTTAACACATACATCAGTGTCATCAATGGCGTCTTTAAGCAAGTTCACCAAAAAGAGTTCCTTCTTATTTTTGAAGAAAAGTAGACTATTTTCAACAAGTAGCAGCCCTTTGGTGGATTCTCCATCACTTGCACAAAGACTCAGAGATCTGCCCAAAGATCTTCCTGGAACCAACATCAAGAAAGAAGTTTCTCAGGTCACTTAACTCCCTTTTCTTGCTTGAGCTCATTGGATGGGTTACGTGATCGAATACCATGAAAATTAAGTCGATTTTCACCAGACACAAATTAGTATTATTTATCGACATCAAAAATCCTCACGAGTTCATGTGATTACATGGTTTTTCTTTTTAATTTCCAAAATTTATTTATTAATTATCTGAAATGGTTTCTTATTGAAGCCTTAAACCATTAGCTGGTATTGGATGGAAAAGGATGAACTGCGAATGGAGGAATTATGGGCGTTTTTTGTCTTTTCTTATTGCTACGAACTTGGTCTTCTTCGAATAAATTAATATATATATATATATATATTTGTTGGGCACTTTTAATCCGTTATTACTTAAAAATTCATAAAAGAATCAGTTTCAGCTGCACCCATCATACTAATTAGTAGTTGAGGTCCCAGCAGTTTCACCAGTAATTATAGGTCTGTTTGGCAAGGCTTTTAAAAAGTCAAAAATTGCTTTCCAACATATTGTGATAATTTTATAGAAGTGCTGCTTGTGAAGTCCTGCCAAACGGATCCTAAAATAACTTTCTTATGAAAGTCTAATACGAGAAGCAGAGGCAAAAGTAAGAAGGAACTTTTTAACAAGATTTTAACTTTTTATTTTTTTTTCGTTTCTATATTGTCCAGTACTTCAAACTAGGAACGGACTTGAAAACATTTAACGGTATTTTTGAGTTGTTTTGTTGGATCGGTCGCTCAAGAATGCCATGAAGTACTGCAATAGTTAGTTTATTCTGTGAGCTTTCTGGTATAACATTTGAATCAGCTAGAAAAACATATAAGCCAGTGATTAAGCTGCTTGCTAAAATGCAGACTTTTAAAATTTCAATCCAATTATTGTTCACTTCTCCATCGATCCACCCCGACCCTGTTTGTGCCCAAACCGTACGAACAAATGGGATTTATCGACTTGAAAAACAGAAAGATTTGTACAATAAATACACATAGTCAATATCTTGACTGATGAATTGTAGTTTCGCAATGCAGCTCATTGGAAGAACTCCCCTTGTATATCTTAATAAAGTAACCGAAGGCTGTGGTGCTTATGTAGCTGTTAAACAAGAGATGATGCAGCCTACCGCTAGCATCAAAGACAGGTATTCTCATTTATACCTCGATTTGTTTCTTCATAATTCGAATTTCATACATTTTATGCTATGCTCGACCGGTATGAACTTGGCCAAATACGATCTAATGGTATGAAATTTTTGTTCTGGTACCAGACCAGCATTCGCAATGATCAATGACGCAGAAAAGAAAGGCTTAATCACGCCTGGACAGGTAAGCGAAAGCATGTTCTAAAAATATTTTTGGAAGTTTTTTGTTAATGGGGTCGATTTCATTTATTTTCATCACAACTGGATAGGTTGGTGAGAAATCACTTTTCAATATAACCGTACATGGCATGTTTGGTAGGGAGAATGTGATGGTATTGAAACTCTGGCAACTGGACAGGGCGGGAAATTTTAACACCCCTGACTGAATTGTACTAAAGAAGAAAAAAAAGATAAAATTTTGTTTATATAGCGTCTACTTGTGCTCAATGCTGCATACCAAACGTACACCCCATTTCCTATTCTCATTAAATTTGGTTTCATATAAATTTCTGTATTGAATTTTAGACAACATTGATCGAGCCCACATCGGGAAACATGGGGATCAGCATGGCATTTATGGCAGCCATGAAAGGATATAAAATGGTACTGACAATGCCCTCGTACACGAGCTTGGAACGAAGGGTGACGATGAGGGCATTTGGGGCTGAATTACTCGTCACCGCTCCGCCCAAGGGAATGGGTGGTACAGTTAAGAAAGCTTATGGACTTCTTGAATCCACTCCAAATGCTTTCATGCTTCAGCAGTTTTCAAATTGGGCTGAATTAATCGTCACCGATCCGACCAAGGGAATGGGTGGTACAGTTAAGAAAGCTTATGGACTTCTTGAATCCACTCCAAATGCTTTCATGCTTCAGCAGTTTTCAAATCCTGCCAACACTCAGGTATCCAAATTCAATGCTCCCCCGAGCTTGCTATAAACAATCATTTTTATTATACTATTCAGTCATATTCAAGGTGTGTTTGGGTCACATTATTTTGAAAGAATGTATTATGCAATAGTAGATTGATAGAGAATGTGTGGTTGAAAATGAATGAAAAGTTATTGATGTGATGAAAAATATTATTTTATTGAAGAATGTGTGGTTGGAAATGAGTAGAAGAATGAGAATGAAAAAAATAATGTGCACCAAACAGAGGCTCAATACTGCATACCAAAACGCTCCAACTTTTGATTGGCTTGGTTTATGTTTTCTCCTGTTATGACCTCTAAACATAAAAGCAGGTGCATTTTGAGACTACTGGTCCTGAAATATGGGAGGATACTAACGGTCAAGTTGACATTTTTATTATGGGAATCGGAAGTGGAGGCACTGTCTCGGGTGTTGGACAATACCTAAAGTCCAAAAATCCCAATGTTAAGGTAAAGACACGTGATCTTAACGAAGCATGATTTGCACAACAAGCTATACTTGATTTTAGTTCATTTTTATTATTTGCCCCTTTTTTGTAGATTTATGGACTTGAACCTGAAGAAAGCAATGTACTCAATGGTGGTAAACCAGGTAACACGTCGAACATTGTATCATTCCTACATATTTCATCATCACTTCATTTTTAAGTTATTTCCTTGAATGAATGAGAAATTCTAGGCTCTTAGGGGTTGCGATGTGCGAACCTAATATTGAACTCTTTGTTCGATATAGGTCCTCACCATATTACTGGCAACGGAGTAGGATTCAAACCAGATATTCTTGATATGGATGTAATGGAAGAAGTTCTTATGGTAATCGCACTTGTTTTTTATTTACTATATAATTCAAGAAGTTCTAGTTTTAGCTAATGGACGATCACAAATATTGCAGGTTTCTAGTGAAGATGCTGTGAACATGGCTAGACAGTTGGCACTAAAAGAAGGGCTCATGGTAATAACTCGAACACACATTGTTACATTTCCCTTTTGGTTAACAGATATTCTTCCTATCGGATTTGACTTTGGGAAATGAAAAACGTTGTTTTTTTGCTATTGCTAATAACTAATGGAATGCTTCCACCGTGTAGGTTGGAATATCATCAGGAGCTAATACTGTTGCAGCTCTTAGACTTGCTAAGATGCCAGAAAACAAAGGCAAACTCATTGTGGTATGAACAAATAGCAAAACATTTAGATTTTTTCCTTTCAATTTAAGCTGGTAAAAATACTTTTTATCCACACTACAAAATAACTCACAACTGCTATGCACTATCTACACATTATGTAGGATTCACAATTTATAATGCTTGTTCTTGTTTTACTTGTTTTCTTGTCTAACTCATGTAAAAACTTCGTTTTCCAGACTGTGCATCCGAGCTTTGGAGAACGATACTTGTCGTCTGTTCTGTTTCAAGAGCTTAGGAAAGAAGCTGAGAATATGCAGCCCGTTTCAGTTGATTAAGGCTTGTACTTAATGTTCAGATTTTTGAATTGCGTGGAACAAAATTTACTTGTAAAAGGAGATCATGAAGTGATTCTCATGTAGAGAATTGTTTCTAATTTATGTTCTTCAATCTTAATTATAATTAGATAACTGCTTTTTGTCATGGTGCGATAATCTAAGTTTTCATACTTCCTCATCAATAGACAGTCAAGATGTGTTGGTCAGGCCTCTAGCCGGCTATGACGGACATGGTACCCCTATGCAAAAAAGAGTACATGTGATAACTACATATCATTACATTTTCGAATCATGACAAACATTTTAAAGTCGATTCATTTTTTTTATTTGGAGAGGGTCCTAATGAAATAATCGTGCACAATAATCCCTAAAGAAGGGATTTTTGCTCAAGTAATTGATGAGGTTGGTCTTACTAGGATTGGAACAATATTGACTTGGTGCTAATGAATTGATTATCGAGTGAATGCATAGTAAACTATTCAACTTTAGTAAATATATATATTCGTCAATTTTATCGTTGTCATATTGAATTAAAATTATATTTTACTCAGACTTTATGAAATGATGCAATGCTATTAGATGTCATAAATATAAATCCTATCTACCATAAAGATATGCCAAAAGGATAATCATGATGCCAAAGAGCTTGTTCGGGAGAGTTTTTTTGGCAAATTATTTTTTTTCTCAAATCATTTTTAGTGACGCATTCTATGGGAACTTATGATTTTTTCATACATTTTTAATTGTACTTACGTGAAAAAATCTCTTCCAAGCAATGATTTGTGATTAATGTGCTAAGCGTATTTTCTAAGCTCAAAAGCAAGTAGAAGTAATTATTTATTTACTATCAAAATAAGTAATTTACATAATTTCAAATTTTCTCAATGTAAAATTATTTCTTTTAAACCTGGTCATAAACAAATTTTGCAATATTAGAAAGCCTAATATATTTAATACAAACTCATTACCAAAACCGACCTTAGCTCAGTTGGTAGAGCGGAGGACTGTAGTTTGCTTGCTGTCATCCTTAGGTCGCTGGTTCGAATCCGGCAGGTCGGAATTTTTTATTTTTTATCAATTTTCCTATAAAAAATTGTTTCTTATTATTGAAAATGTAATAAGTTGATAAATTCATGCTTAAATTAAATATCAACAACGATATCTCAGCCTATGTTTGGTTTATACAGTCGAATAACTTTTTGTTCACATATTTCGAAGGATTCACAAATAGTCAAATATTACCCACTTATCAATAACTCATTTCTATTTATTTACCGCTTACGTGTTTTAGGCAAACCACACACAAAAAAAAGGGGGCAATTCTTATTCTAAAATGTCATATTTCCAAATAGTAATAATGATATTTAAAACCAAATTTAGCTAATTTTTTTTTTTAGAAAAATAGTGTATTTTCCAAATCAATATATTTCTTGAACCTCCAAATTCATTTTAGCTAACAAAATCACAAGAACTAATGGTATGAAAACAACTTGAATCTTATTTTGGTATATAACCTTGTTTGGTATCCATTATTTCCAAATACATTTTTCTTTTTTTTTATTTTCAATCACATATTTTTCAATAAAATAATATCACTCGCAAACCTAAAAATTTCCTTTATTTTTTAACCATATATTATTTAACAAAATACTATTTCAAAATACATTTTGGACAAAAAAATAAGGCTCAAACGGCGCATAATACAAGTTCACAAACCTTTCAAAAACTTACACTCAAGTCACAAATCTTGTCTATGTAAAGTAATGAACAACTTGAAAAAGCATCGATTTAATCTCCACATCCATTCGAAGGAGGTGGTGGTAGTATAAAAGGTTGTGGGCGAACTAAAACTATCAAATGCCAACTTAGCTAATCGAAATGGGTGAAGTTTTGCAAGTACTAAGGCCATGTTTGGTGGCCATTTTTATTGGAAAAATATTATTTTGAATATTGAATTCTTGGAGAATCTGTAGTTAAAAAGTAAGGAAATCTTTTTGGTTTATATATGGAATATTTTTATTGCGTGAATGTATGATTAGAAATGAATATGTAAAAAAAAAAGAATTTCAAAAAAATGAAAGACAAACAATGGTTAAGTACGATGCACTTGAAAAACTACAAATCAATGACAAATTTTTTTTTTTTCAATTAATGAGTTTGGAACTCCAAAATATAACATGCATGCCCTTTTATTATGACCAAAAATAATTTAACAATTAAAAATTTATGATTCATTCTTAAAATTATGAAGCAATTATTCATTTGACATTGGAATTATTATCAGAGTTCATAGTTCAAATTATTTAAAGGATTAAAATAAATAAGTCAACAATCTTTGACACTGAAAGTTACGCAATCTTGTGCAAGTAAATCAATCTAAGGGTAAAATGTAATTATAATCTCGACCTTTGTTGAACGTTAGGGTATTGTCCCAATAATTTTTTTCGTCGCATTCTTGTTCCAAACGCCGATAAATTAATGGAGTTAGACCCTAAAAATCGTTTCCATCAAATTCATCCGTCAATTAAGTCATATCAATACCATTAGAAAAAAAAAATAGCGAAAATTGAAAACTAAGAGAATGTCGACCCCAAAAGGTAGAGGACACGATCGCAACTTTGAGCAAAAATTGGAGACTAAATATGAAATATTCACTCGTAACTTATATATTTGGACGATTTGAGAAACAAATCAAAAATTACAAAACTTACTCAAATTACAATAATTTACATAATTTCAAAGGATAAGAACGACGGTCATTTATAACAGTCACGTGTCGTTCAAATTACAAGCGTGACATCATGTGCCGACCAATTTATACTGACTCGACGCCTAGATAATTTCACCATTTTTAAACCTAGAGTATTCGAGAGGAAAAAGAAGAAAAATAAATTATTCTTTTTAGGAAAATAATAGGTAAAATATAGTTATTTGAAAAGATCTGCAAATTGGAAAAGCTTGTAAACCAATTTTAATTTTTTTTTGCTCAGAAAATACGATTTGCTTGAAATTAAATTATTTTTTGTACTAAAATTAGCCGACAAATTGGGAGCAAGCGTCCCTCCAAAATCCCATAGTTTTTGAGGTAATACTTCACTTGACATTTGTTCTTCCTTACCAGCTTTGAATTTTCGAACGGATTGAATGATTGCCCAATTTTTTATTTTTTAATTTGTATGGGTTAATTTACAGGTTGGTTTAGGCTTTTCGTGAATTTTTGGGAATATTTTTATTGAATATCTCTTATGCAATCGGGGGCCGGGGCCCATCAAGACCGCGGCCGAGGCGGGCATGGGTCTAGGAACGCCGCGTCTGCCTCCGCTTCGCCGCCCTCCTCCTCCTCAGCCGTGTCGGCTCCGCAGCTGGCATTTGATCTGCAGCAGCAACAGGCAAGACAGGTTAGGGTTTGCAAGTGTGTGACAAGTGGGTGTGTATGAGGTGCAACTTTGAGATATTTTAAAAATGTAAGAAAAATTAAATTGAAAACCTTTCAATTCATTTTTTTTGGGAGTAACAGTTTGTTTTGTTAACTAATTTTCCCCCATTCGTCAGTTGCTGAAAAGATTACGTTGCCCTTTTTTCAGAAAAAAATTATATATTTTAGCCAATCGAATCAGATTTTGGGCTTTCTTTGTTGATTTGAGACTAGAGTTTTGGAATTAGAATTCTCACGGGCGTCTGGGTTGCTTTAAATTGTGTAATTCATTAATCATAGTAAAATCATGCAAATTCAGTTTAGCAGATAGTTTTACCTCTTCCTTTGAGAAAATAAGATGTGGAAAACTGGGAATTGTTATTATTTTGCTGTTCTCAGAGTTACAGCAAGCTATGATTATTCGATCTATAAAGAACTGCATTTGAGATATAATTGAAACTATTTGTGCGCATCTTATTTATTATAATTATGTCTATGTGCAGTGTTGATAGTAGTATCATACTCGTGCTTTCTGTCTGTGATTTCATTTTTAAACATATGTTTCATATCATGGAAGATAACACGCTAAAGTTACTTTTCAGTTTTCACCGAAGTTTTGCCTAAAACTTTTCTGCTCTTAAGTATCTCTCTCAAATTCTTGTCATGCTTTTGGCTGGTTTTTATTATTATGTTCTTAATCATGTGCATCTAATTCAAATGATGGGAAGAATAATAATGGTAGTCATATGCCAATTACCCCTCTTATTGTAGACCTTATTATTTATATTTCTGTTCATCTTCTTTAATATGCTAATTGGACTCGTGTTTGGCAATTCTTTAGAAGATGGTTTTCTCTAAATCTTCATTGTGTCAACACTTGAGTTCATTGATGCAGTGAATATCTCATGCGCTGCTATATTCAGTTTCGGATTGCCTTTGCTTTTAATATATTTTTCTGAGCTGTCATTTTCTTCAATATTAATCGTCCTTTCATTTTTTCTGTGTCAATTTTGCTAGTTATCGTTGAAAATGAATTAAGGCCCTGTTTGATATGTATCATTTTCCATGGAAGTTAGAAAACAATTTCCATTTTCCATATTTTTGGCTTGTTTGATAGTGTCATTTTTGGCCATGGAAATTTTTTTCCTACTAATGTCCACACGTGCACATTCCATGGAAGTTAGAAAACAATTTCCATTTTCCATATTTTTGGCTTGTTTGATAGTGTCATTTTTGGCCATGGAAATTTTTTTCCTACTAATTTCCAC